ATTATTATCTGCAGTTTTTTCATTTACTTACTCATTTATAGTATATATACAAGGTTTAATATCCTTCACCTTTTACAATATTTTTAAAATTGCAAAAAGCTTATTTACTTTTTTACATATGGATTCGAAAAAATCATTTGAGTTTTTTTTATTTAAGAATAAATTAAAATTGTAAGAGATAAATATTACAATATGGTTCAAATCTGCAAAACGTTGAATAAGATGAGGCATTAAACTTCTAATTCAATATTCAAAAATATCAGAATATGAATATTTTTTATACGTAAAGAAGAAAGAAAGAAGAAATCAAAAACGTATTAAACTTGTTTTAATAGCCTAAGTATTGCTAAAATATCTTACGTAATCTTTTTACTTAATTTTACTTAATTACATCTATCTTGTATGAAGAGTATATAAAATATTTATCAACAATATTTTAACGAATGATTAGTCATCGCTAATCTTTTTAACAGCAGTAACAAATTTATATGTATCCGCAAAGTACTTTTTTTAAAAGGTTTTAATTAATATTAATAAAATTAATCTTTTTTAGCACATATTATTAATTCTATAAATATTTAATGTAATTTGTATTTGTGATGTGTTTATCTTTTTATAAGTTCAGTATAAGACTGGTAATAAAATATATTTACATTATGCAATAAAATTAATTTTATTGTTTAAGATATGCATTTTTAGGTGCATATATTTTTAAAATATGCCTTGAAAATGCGAAATGATCAATTCCAAGTTAATCGAATAATCCTCATAATTAAAGAAAATTTTTATCATTTTATGTACGAGACTTGTTTGTTATTATTAATACAAATTTTTAACTGTAATTTTCTTGTGAAAATGAATTTTCGTATAAAAGTTTCTACATTTTCAAATTTTTACATATATTGTATATGTATATTTAATACTCACAAGCTTCAGGTTCAGGTTCCGATTCAGATGTCGAATTCGATGTTATTTCATGTTCCAAACTTTTCAAAATATGCAGTTCGTCTGGACTTACTAAAATATAAAATTCAAGTGAAATATTATTTTTTATATTTTAATTAATAAATAGAAAAATGGCCAATTTTCTAGTTGACATGCACACGAAAAATTTATATGAAATATGAAGAAAGATAAGGTACTTACAAACCCATTTAGCTATCGCATATGGATCTTCTTTGATATTTTTTCTGATACTTTTTAAAGCATTATTTAATCTTCCTTTCATATTCTCCATTTCCGAATGTCCGATTTTTTCCAGCAAATTGTGATCGTCGTCCCAATAGTATATTATGGAGCGATTTTGGAAAGCGTCGCGGAGCTTTTCTAACATCTGTAAATATCACTGTTATTTTATTATTGCTTTAGTAAAAAAAAAAACATTTTAAATTTTATTAATATTACCGTGAAGAATAAGAAAGTCATAGAATTTTTCTGAGACATGTGAAACATTTCTGATTCATGATAGCATAACGTTTCAAGATAATAACTTGCGACACTCTTCCATCCTTGTTGATTATTCCTTAGTTTCTAATAGAAAGAATATATTATGTAATTTACAGAATTATATAAAATAAATGATATAATTTAAATTATAAAAATAAAATAAAAATTAATACTATAAGTAGTCATTTTACATTAATTTATTGAAAAAGATAAAATTAAAAAATAAAAAGATAAAGGATTAATTAATATATAGACGATATTTACAATTATAAGTATAAAAGATAAACTAAGAATTTCTTCGTATTATTAAATAATTTATAAATAATTGTTAAATAACGTAATTATTAAATGTATTTATTATTCTACGCGATGTATCACTGTACCTTTAACTGTCGTATTACAGGCTTCATACTCTGATAATTATGATCGCAAAGCAAATCTTGTTCAAATTCGTAAAAGCACAAACGCCAATAACGATTTCCTGAATCACCGAAACCATGTAAAGGTTTGGGAACTGCGGACCAATATCTATTATAATGTGAACGAACCTACGAAACGGGAAGCAATTAGAACCATGTTATTATTTTATTATTAAATTGCTGTAAATAACTTGTTTTTCTCTGTTAAATTTTGTTTTAAATGAAAATAAAGTACGTATTTTAAATATTTTTATGAAAAAGATTAAAAAAAAAATTAAATGAAAATAATCGAAATACATTCAACAATAAGTGTATAATATGCAGGTTAAGAAAAATTACTTTCCGCCGATAACAATGTCGTGAATTATAAAAACTAAGGTTCTTTGAAGGAATTACTGCTATCCGACCAACATTTACCTAACAATAAATAAAACGCAAAATGATAAATACGCTGTTCAATTTATTTAACTATTGGAGTTTTGCAAACAATTTGTCTGTAATTTTTTTGTAGTTATTTATTTTTTCTAATTTTGTTTTAAGTAGAATTATCGAATATTAAAAAATTTTAAATATTCTTTTAGAAAAACTAGATAAAAAATAATATGGCTATAATTTAAACGATTGTATTAAAAAAATCCCTCGTAAAAATGAACTACTAACGCAGTGAAAACATTACTGAAATGTAGTAGTAGTTTTTATTACGCGGGATTACTTTTCCAAATAGTATAATTTGTTTTATTATTTTTACTTAATAAATAAAACATACATATGTACGACAAATCTTTTATAATCTAATATTTTAATTTTATATATTATACATACGTTTAAAAAGTTTCTTTTTGAAGTTGAACATTTTATTGATGGTAAACTAGAAATTGAATAAATGAAAACAGGAACTATATCGATGTCGATAGTTCTTCCGGAATTTAAAAGTTTCAATATTAACGTAAACGCTGGTCCCGATTCTTTCATCCTTATCTAAACATAGAAAAAACATTAATATTAGCATAATAACTTAGTTCTTTTTAGTTTTTTTTTTATAACATTCTACAACATAATATGGCTGATGGCAACAATTTTAAATAGCTATATAAATATGTCATATAAATAATTTTGCTCATTTATCATAATCATTGATATCTCATTTTACTAACAAGAGCATATATAATCTTCGATATTGGTGAAGATCGAGATCTATTGAAAAAATACGAAACAACCCTAAACATTTGTTACCAACCAGTTAAAACAAAGAAAAAGATAGATAAGCTTTAGTTATTAAATAAAATTTAATAGTTAAATAAATGTCGATATTTAAATGGTTACTTTCGTCATCATTATGATACTGCAATTGATTTGCAATTCTGATCAAATCTGTGTTGCCAAATTATCAATATAATTACATTTAAATTGTTATTAAAATGTTATTAAAATCTTACTTACTGGCTCACATCCATCGAATATAATTCTATTATTTCCACCAGTAGCATTGGCCACTTTACTTAAAATTCCTTTCATCCATCTGCGAAATTTTTCTTGATCTAGATACGATTGATCGTCGATGAAAGACTTCAATTCTCTGAACAGAAAGTAAACTTTTTCCTTTCTTACTCATTTTATAAATAACATTAAATAAATTTCTATGTTAATAAACTATGTACTTATATGCTTTCGGATCTAAGTTTAAGGAATTATTATCCAAATTTCTGTCTTTCCAAGCCGTGTAACGTATTTTAACAAAACCTGGCCGATCTGTGCTAATCTGAAATATGATAAATGAGTATAAATTAAAGTACAATATGAATGTAAAATGACACGAGTAATAGAGTACATTTTATACTATTTTATACTCACTTTATTCATATAATATTATTTTTATTAATATATTATAAAATTATATTAAAATTTTTTAAATATGTTGATATATACAGATACATAATATAAAATTATATATATTTAAATTTAAAATTAATGGTATATTATACTATATATACCATAATTAGTACAATTGAAAAGAAAATAACTTCATACAAAAATAAATCGAAGAAAAAAAATATATATATATGTATAAAACTGATAATATATATCTTGTTTAAGTCTGAATAATCTTCAATGATATGCATTAATTTAAAAAATAATGTTACTTCTATATCTTTTTCCTTGAAGGGTAAGTTGATTACAAAATTCAAATCATATTCTTCAGGTTGCCCAACGCGAGTTTCTTTGTAATAACTTCCAGCCCACACAATTTTTTGATAGGTTTTAGCAAACAACGGACTTTCTTTTTTCATAGCACCTATTAATAACTCTTCTAAAATCTGTGACATATATATAACATAGATACAATGCATACCAGCGTAATAGAATATAATTTTAATAATAAAAACATATTTAACGGACCTTTTTCAAGAACTGATTATTATCTTTTATATCATCAGGATCCATACTTATAAATTTTTCGTTTATTTTATTGAATATTACATCTTTAGTTAGATATTTTCTGATATCTTCAACTTGCGCCATCGTATATAAACAAGTTCCGAAATGTTCAAAATCTAAAATTACTTAAAATTATATTTACGTTATTGCTGTACAACTATTTTTAAAGTACTGCAATGAAATAAATATGTACAAATATATAATTTTTATAAATACAAAAAATATGGATTTTTTATACGTATATTTAAAATAAAATCGAAAAAGAAGATATATATATGATATAGAAATTAGATTTAGAATAAAAATAAGTTTCAGAATAAAATTATATTTTTCGTTTTTTATTTTACAGACATTTAGAAAAAAAATTAAATCTTTCTAGATATTATTTTAAATATTATAAATTCTTTTTCTTCTGTAACTAAAACAGTAGAGTTGTGATAAACATTTCACTATAAAATATTTAGATTATATTACATTAAATAGTGAGAGAGTTTATGTTGAAGTCTTCTTGAAATACAAATCTTCGAAAAAATTAATCAACAATTTAATTATAAATGTACAGTCATGGACACATCGGTTGCAACACTTTCTTTTTTATAGATTTCAAAACGCATTAATATTTTGCAAATGCGGATCACGATGGGTGTTATACTGTCTCTAGACTAAAGATAGTACATCGTGGTTCGCATTTGCAAAATATAAATTATCCATAAAATATATGTTATGTATATTAAATATATATTAGAAACCTATAAAAAAAATGTGTTGCAACCGATGTGTCCACGACTGTACATGCAATTTTATAGCCACGTTCACATTTTATATAATTATTACTTGATAAAGCATTTTTTTTCAAGTTACGACATCGCGATATATATCGTCACTTGTATGTAATGTCTTTTTATAGAAATGCTGATAAAAAAGAATATAAATAATATTATACATCACTATCATATCAAACGACTTCCGCTGATTAGGCACATTTCTTTTCATACGCTTTCTTTTGAATAGCAATTTTATATCACAGTGATACGTTGTGTAATATTCATTATTAAAAAATATATTAAAAAGACAAACGAATTTTTTTATTAACCTATATAAATATAACAAAGATCATTTCTCTCTAAAATTCAATAATATTTTTTAATCAAATTTACACATTATCTGATCAATACTTTTAGTCA